TTGAGATTCATCCAAGTTGTTGCATCAATAGTTGAATATTTTTTATTTTGAATAGTTTTTTACTGCACGCATGTACCACAGTCTGTCTGTTTACCTGTTGAAAGATATTTGGGCTGACTCCAGTTTTGGCAAAGACAGCTCTTGAAATATTCATGCACAAATCTCTGTGTGAGCATAGTTTTCATTTGTTTAAGGTAAATACAAATTGCTGTATTAATTTCGGTTTTTTTTCTTATGGATCATACTTTTGGTATCAATGTCTAAAAATTCTGCCTAACATCAGGTCACACAGATTTTCTGCAGGGTTTTCTTCTAAAATTCTGTAGTTTTACATTTTTCATTTAGATAGATGATCCATTTTTAGTAGTGTGATTCCTTCAAATTTAATCTTCCTTTCCAAAATTATTTTGGTTATTATAGTTCCTTTGCTTTTTGTTATAAGTTTTATTTTATTCTTTTCTGTCCTTTCATGCATGATCCACCTACTGTTACGAGTTTTAGAATCCTCTTGTCTACAGCTACACAAAATCATGCAATGTATATGAATGGAATTATGTTACATGGATAGATTATTTGGATGAACATTGACATCTTTTCCACGCTGAAATTTTAATCCATAAACACGATATACCTCTCCATTTATTTAAGCTTTCTTTGATTTAGTTCATCAGTTTTTGTAATGTTCAGCATACAGATTCTATACTTATTTTTTAAAAATATTTAATTGCTTAAATATTTGATTTTTAGGGGGTTATTATACATGTTTTGCATTTGATATTTCAGTTTTCAAATAGTTCATTGCTTGAATATAGGAATATGATTATTTTGTGTGTGATGACCTTGAATATGGCAACATCGCTTAATTTATTTATTCATTGTGAGAAATTCTGTTTGTATTTGTTTGTCTTGATTGCTTTTTGTTTTCTGTTTAAACAATACTATTATCTGTGAATACAATAACACTGTGAAATTTTTTTTCCTTCTTTTCCAATTTGTATGCCCTTTATTTATTTTTCTTGCCTTATTGAGCATATTAGGACGTTCAGTGCAATGGTGAATAGAAGTGGTGAAAGCTAAAGATGAAAGCTTCAATCTTTCAAGTCTGATGTTAGTTACGCTCTTTTTTTGGTAGATGCTCTTTATACAGTTGAGGAAATTTCCTTCCATTCCTATTTTGCTGAAAACTTTTATCATTAATATTTATTTAGATGTTGAATTTTGTCATGTGCTTGACATATTTTAAACATTTCTATTTTTACTGTTTTAATAGTTTAAAAAAATCTATTTTGACTCCTTTTACTCTCCATTTTCAGCTCAACTACTTTAGGCACACACAAATGGTCATATCAGGTTAATCTACTTCCACAAATAAGAACTTCCCAATTTCAGGCAACATGATCCAGCTTAAGTATGTGCCTTCTTTTGGTCTTTTCTCAGAGACATTTGTTTTGAAAATCATGATTTGTTTTTTAGAGTTCTAATAGATGAGCAAGTAGTAGAAGATGGCATATTTTAGGAATAGTTTATTATTGGATTACTGCTGATACAATTTCTGATTTTTAATATCATTTATAGATTTACAACAATTTGCTGAGTCCTAGTAGAGAAATGTATAAAGGCAAACAATCAAAAAAAAGTATCATGCAGACTTTATCTACTTTGTGTGTTTGTTTACTTAATTACCTGTTTACTTTTTTATGTTTTCTGTACATATGGAATATGTAAATTTTTATCTTTATCAAACAAAATAAAAAGAAACAACAACAAAAAGTCACACTAGGAGGGCACATTCAGTTTTATAAATTAGCACAGATATGTTTGTTATGAGCAAATGGTCACTTAAGAAAACACCAAAACTTTTGTCTTTTTATTTCTGAGTGAAGTAGATTAAAATGATCATCACACCCTAAAGTTTTTAATGTGTGTACTTCAGACCTTTTCTGTAACTACCCACCAATTCCAGGTATCATTTTTTTTTTACGATAAATTGTATGTTTTTTGGGGGAGGGGAAGGTAATTAGATTTGTCTATTTTTTAATGGAGGTACTGGGGATTGAACTCAGGACCTTCTGCATTCTAAGCATGTGCTCTACCACTGAGCAATACCCTCCCCCCAAATTGTATGTTTTAAAAGTAAAAGTCAAAGGTTGCTGTGTTCAAGTTGAATGTGAAAGAAAAACAATCTAGTGATTAATTTGTATGGAAAAGGATAAAGTTTTCAAGAGTTAAACATATTCATATTTAATTACTCTACTGAGACCTAAAAAGCTTGAAGTGCCTGACCGCAAACTTTACTTTCTTCCTAGATTTAAAAGTTAAGATTTTAAATGTACAAGGTAGAACTCAATTTTTAGAATACACTGTTGGAAAATATCTGAAAGCCCTTCTGTTTCTAAATTCAATGATGCTGTGATACATATGTTTTCTTTTTTTTTTTTTTTTGGTCTATTTTAATTTTTCCATGTAAATACTGTTATTTTATATTCAGATTATTTTAAATGAGTTTTCAGACACCCTTGAAGCCTGGATAATGAAATGTTATTTTCTATATTAAAACCAGTGTGGTTTTTAGAGTGAGTTATTCATATGTTTGTTAAAGGCCAAATGGCTATTTCACTATGGTCATTATAAACACGCCCAATCTCTCACATCCCTACCTATTTTAATGGATGAAAGTAGACAGACATTATTAGTAAACTTGATACTCTGCTGCTATTTAAGTTGCAGACCTCTAAAATTGTATGTTGTCAAATTCTATAATAATAAACCAATTTTTTTTTAGCCTTTTTTTTAACCATCCTTCACCCTCATTCCTTATCCTTTATATATCTTTTTGGTTTTCTCTTCTTCCTCTCTTTCTCTTGTTTTCCCTTGCTTTTCTCCATCTTTATTTTTTCTCTTTCTTTCCTTTCCAAAATTCCTTCTTTTCTAACTACTTGGTTTTCCATTTTCATCAAAACAATATTTAGTAGCATTACCACTGCCCAATGTTCATCACTCTGATTCATACCTACAAATATACATACACACATGCATGCACACACACTCACATATGATTTAAAACAGCTCTTCACTCAAAAGGAAAATGTCTTTTATTTCTGAGGTTAAATTTCTTATTTTACTAGAACTGGTTAGAACTTTAACAATATGCAAAACTTTTTAGATACTGTCCCAGTATCCCAGTCTGTCTATATGTTTCTAACTGAGTAAGGATCCACATCCTATGAGGTTTCACCTAATTAAAGCCATTAAACTCACAGGATTACTGTAATAGCCCTTATATTTTCTAGAGTTCACATTTTCACTTTACATTTTACTCTCTCCTTAGTACCCAGGATTCTGTTTTCCTGAAGTGTTTTAAGACACTCATGCTTAACTTTTAATTAATAGCAATAAGGGGTTAGTACATGCTTTTGACCAATTCAAAAAGTGAACTAAATGTCCTTAAGTAAAAATGTGCACTTTCTAAGTAATTATTGTTTTTAAAATTGGCAGAATTCTTTTACAGACATTTTTGCCCTTGGTGTTGATTTCCACTATTAATTTTACTGGAAGATTAAGTTATCCTAAATTGTCATTTTGATCTTTTTTTCCAAAATTGTCATTATGGAAACAAAAATTAAGGTGCTTCACAAAAACTGGAAACTAGTAAAAACCTAATAATATAAAATGTCTGCCACCAACTACTAGTCAAAGTGGATTAGGAGTGAGAAATCAATCTACCTTGTTTCCTTTCACCTTAGCATTTATTTTGACAAAGGTCACTTGAAAAAACAACAAGAAAGATTACAGATGAAGAAATTTGTGAAGGTTTTTTCTGTCCCCCAACTCCTAACAGACAGTGAAACTTACATACTACTTTAAGCTACTACACTTAACATGTCTTTTTTTTTTTATTCCAAGTAATTGTTTAAAAGTGCAAGTAAGTTAAATTATTACATGGAACCAAAAAAAAAAAAAGGAGCCCCGTTAGTTTAAATTAGCCTTATTTATAAGGAAAACACATATTGCTCTACATTAAGCCTTACCTTGGACCCTCTGCTTCATGAATTGCATGCTCCTGTGTCACTGAGACTTGCATGCGGGAGGGTCTGGTAGGAACCCATAGCGGCTTCAGAGCACAATGGTGTGGTATGAAGTGAGACAGAAAACAGGAGAACCTTTGTCGCTGAGTCAGCTGCAAGAAGAAGTAACGTGTATGAATGTACAGTTAAGGGAGATCTATGAAAGATCTCCTCTCTTTCTCCCAAAAGACTCTGTTCCACGGTACAAGGAGAATTCAGTTCTTTTTGGCAGACTTCCATGTCAGTTTGGAAGCAGTAAAAACAACCACAAAAACAAGCCTGGTTTCTCAGTGTCTTTACTCTCAGTGTTCTAAGGACCATTTTATTTCTTATTTTCATTTTACCTCGTTTTTAATAACTGGAAAGTTAACACGCCTTTCCCTTGTGTTGTTTGAGTACAATTTCCATAGCAAGGATGCAGATGAGAATGTATTATAGACATGAGTCCAACCATATGTGTCATGTTGTTACTGGCAAAATTGAGGAGTGGATGACTTTATATGATATTACATCAAAGAGGGTATAGCATCCCAGCTGATGATGTAATTATGTTTAAAAATGACTTTTATTAAATAATTCACGCTTTTAATATGGAGAAATTAGGCCATTCTTTTCCACTCCTCCCACAAATATTCAATCTTAATATCTAAGTAGTAAAACAACATGGACAGTGTTATCCATCCTGGTACTAACAGAAAATGCCAGTTATGACAGGCTCATTGTTTACTTTAACAGGTAATTTGTGGACCGGAATCATTTAATTGTTCTGAGTACATAATTACATGTCAGCAATTTCCAATTTAATTAAAATGTACAAATCTGAAGATTAAGGGAATTTTTGAATTATTAATCATTTTTCCACTAGGAAATCTTGTTGCTCTGCAGGAGATTTGTCCAGTGTACAACTATACGTATTTTTTTCCTTCTCTTTCACAGACAGACAATTTTCCCGCAGAGCCCAATTACATGGGCAGCAGGCAGCAGTTTGTTCAAAGGTAAGGCCTATTAAATAACTTTCTCGGCTTCCCCATTTGCATTCGTGTCAAAATTGCTTTGCGAGAGACTACACTTGAGATTCAGACTCGTAGAGACAACACTTTCTCTTCTCTTTCTTTATATGTATTTCAGTAGCTCCACGTTTAAGGACCCAGAAAGAGCCAGCCTGAGAGACAGTGGGCACGGGGACAGTGATCAGGCTGACAGTGACCAAGACACTAACAAAGGCTCCTGCTGTGACATGTCTGTTAGGGAGGCACTCAAGATGAAAACTACTTCAACTAAAAGCCAACCACTTGAACAAGGTGAGTGAAGCCTTCCAATGCTTATGAAGTGTAAAGCTTAAGCGATCGGTATAAAACTAGAATAGTACTAGTTGTACCAGAGTTGCAGTTTATCACCTTGGAGTGGACCATTGATAATATAACAAAAGAAGCAGCAAAATCCGAGGTTGTCCTCAGACAAAAAGGAATTATTCAGTAGCTGAGTAACCACAGAATAAGGAAGGCCATGGATTTTCGTCTGTAATCTTCTTAAGATGAGAACTTGGCCAAAGTCACTAGATTGCACTTATCTTTGTGAGCATTTTCTAACCTTTCCAGTTTTGCATTTTATTAACAAGGAAAACAAGGAAATATGTTAGCTAGATATGCACATCTTAATGTGTTCATATTTGGATTAAAATGAGTAAATTCAAAACTGTTAGGTGAAATGAAAACCTAATTGAAAGTTCACAGCTCTTAGCTGTGTTGCTTTCTTTTTAGTGTAGATTTTAGCTTCAAAGTAGTTTTTCAAGAATCAAATAACAGCTATGCCAGGGTTTTGGCTCCTTCTTTTGATTTACATCTAATTCTTCCTGGTTATCAAGTAACTATGAATTTGTTTACCCTGAGAGAAAAAAAAAAGAAATACTTCTTAATAAATACATAGATTTTTTTTCTAAAAATTAATCTTCAGTTTATTAGTTTGATATGTCTTTTTATTAATTTTGATATTTTTATTGTTTCAAACACAATAGAATATTTACCAGTGATTCAGCTAAAGAGAATTGAGCTACTCTTATGTGTAAGACTTAGATATTGTGAATAAGCTTTTTTTTATTTCCAGTTATAAAAAATGAAAAGAACTATTGTATAAATCGAATTTCAGAATTACAAATGCATGCTATATTGGTTAATATTAGTTTTCAAAATATTAATAGTATTTAAATATGTTTAATCTTTATTACAGCGTATTTAATGAAAAACTACATTTAATGTATGTGATATTTATTTATTCTTCTAAGTTTTAATGATTGGTGATTTGTAGAGAGTAAATTATTGCCTCTAGTGCATTCTGTCTTATCACATATATGTCAGCAGATAGAATGCTTTCTAATTTTAAATTTGTCCAATCATGTTGAAATTTGAACTCACACACATACACATTTATATGCATTCAATACAGGAAAAAATTTATATATGTATATATATAAAACATTTCTGCACTGAATATAATTATGCTGGATTTAAGGATGACCTCCCCAGAAAGTCCTTTTTACTAAGTAATAAATGTCACATATATTGTAACAACTTCCTAAATAACAATACAATATTGTTTTAAAAATTATTTTTAACAAAAACTATCTGAATACTTATCTAATATTCACAGTTCCTGAAAACTTGAATGTTTACTTCAAGTGACTTAAATGGTCTTGATGGGTTTTGACCGTGTGATAACTTGAATATTTTAGGCACATTTTAAGTAGTAGGTTGCTGTTGGATCTTGGTATGTGAATGCCTAGCCTAACAGACTCATTTATGCATGTGATAAAGTGACTGACAGATAATTCATTGGCTACTATCTGTAAAGCTGCATAGAGTAAGTAAAGAGTTTGTATTTATTGTCATATCTTCATGAGAAACTTTGTTAATTAAAAAGAAAAAACTCCTACTCATATTAACTCTTTAATTCCTTCCCATCCACTGACTGAGCAATGTATTTATTTGATGAGGATGAAGACAGGCCCCTAGAGAAAAAGGAAATGATCTTATTTATGCCTGGAAATGTAATTTATACCAAAAAGCTTTTTTTTTTCAATTTTGATATCAAAAGTGATATCTTAGAAAGGTGGCTATTGTTCTTCAAAGAACATATAGTTGGCATATATTTAATTAATCTTACATGTAAAATGATTGCTAGTCTGTGAGTGAGACTGCCAATAGAAATGTCTTCTGTAAAAACAGGAAGTTTCCACACATCTTAATTAACAAATATGGGAAAGTTGTTACGAATCCAAAAGCCATACTTAGGAGGAGGTAAGCTATGAATTATACAAGAGAGAGACTGACTTCTACTTTACAACATGATTTTGATGGATTAACTAAGGGTTTCATTGACTGATTGATAAATTGATTTGATTCATTAATTCATTAATTTAACAAATATCTATTAAATGCTTTCAATATATAGGGAAAGTTAGATTCTTTGGGAACATCAAAAATAAATTTGACTTGCAGCCTGCCTTCAAGAAATAGTATGTAACTATTAGAACTTTCTTGCTCTCTCTAACCTCTCTCCCATTTACTTTTAGCTGTCATCTGTCTCCCTATCTGTCTACCTCCAACCTGTCTTTCTTTCTTCATCTTCTAGATCATCTTTTTGTCTCCCTCCCTTTTTTTTTCTTTGTCTATCTTCTATCCATGTATCTATGTTTACACCCATCTATTTATCCAGATTCAAAGAAGACTAGAATTTATTGAGTCCTTCCTACTTATCATAAACTGTGCTAGCTTCATTTCAACATTAGCTTATTAAACCTGCAAACTCTAAAGTAGTTATCATGTTTTATCTTACATATAAGAAAACTGAGCTCATGGGAAATTTATGGACGTGCATGGCAGTTTGGAATTTTATCTGATGTCTAGATAGCACCAAAACTTGTGTCTTTTCTGTACAACTTTGTCTCCAAATGATGGAATTTGCTCCAATACACATTCTGATTCATTGTTATGACTAGATATCAAATGAACATTGATGAGTAAGTTAAAACCTGAGTTCATGTATGCAAAGCTTGGAGGAGAAAAACACCAACATGGCTTACATGCATGGAGTGAATTATTCAGTAGTTAAAACTTAATATCCTATTTAGTTTTCATTGTATTTATAGATAGGTGCGTACTGTTACTCTCACATTTAATAGATGTTAAGAACCTTTTTCAATGTTCTGCAGCTGCAAGTAGTGAAGTCAGCATTAGAAATAAAATAGCACGCCTTCAGGGCCTGCCCTCTCCCAAGGCTTTATGCTATGCATACAAGGAATGGTTTACTCAGGAAAAAAACTTTAAATGTTTGAGGAAACAATCAGCCATTGTCTTGGCCAATGTATTCTGTTAATTTATTTGGAAAGCATCATGACAGCCAATGCCAAATTAATTCTATGCACACTTACAAAGAATGATTTTCTTTACAGATGAAAGATGATGACAACCATATTCAAACAATTATCTCATGTCAGATTTCACATATTAAACCCTAATTTTTAATACCTTTTAAAATTGTTAGTAGATGGAGGGACCCCTAAATTAGAAGGCCCACCAAAGTGTGGATTCTTGTCGCTGACTGTGAAAGAATTTGCGCAGCAGAGGGATGAAATGAACAGCCACTTTTTTGCTCAGAAAGAGAAATGGAAGGAAAGTGCTCGAGCAGGGAGAAGGGAAGAAAAACTGTCGCATGAGGAAGAGGTGCTCGAGTGGGGAGCCGTCAGCCAAAATGGGCGGTAGGGACAGTTCTGGCCCGGATCCAGCCAAGTGGACTTATGGGAGGAGGCTTCTGCCATTATGTCCTTCCAGGTATGATGGAGCTAATCAGTTCTGGTCCAAGCTTTTCAGTCCTTGTCTGGGCTTCTGGTGGTTGTCATGGCAACCGTCAACAGTCATGGCACTGGTGGGCATGTCATTTAGCATGTTTTTTTTTTAGCATGTTAATATATTACAATGAGCATATAATGAGGCTCAAGGTCCACTGGAAGTCAAATCCTCCACCATCTTGGGCTGGTTTCTAACCAGTTCTTGTTTCTTCTCTGCAGCTGTCTCCTGAGACTTAGATAAAAGTAACTGGTTTCTATTTGAGGGAGGGGCAGGAATATGATCCTGGGGTCAATAGCCTTGGTAACAAAAAGGAAAGTTTATTTTAACCAGAATGCCTGCAGTCTGGTGGACTCAGTATCCCCCTCGAAAAACCATCTCCAAAGATTCTGTTTGGCCATGAAAGTTTTAAAGGGAATGAAGGAATAATCTCAGTTAATCGTTGAGATAGGTGGTCAGAGTCTTCCCCATCCCCCACTGCTTGCAGGCTTGTCCTAATCAACTGCTTGAGTCTGCTCTTCTATGACTCAGGGAGGCCTGGGAGACTTCAGCTTTCCTATAAACTAGATGCAGGGGTTGGAGGTGGGGACCCACAGGGTCCTGCTCCCTTTTAAAATCTCCTAAAAATCAAAGGTAAATTTCCTCTTAAACCAAAAGCTAAACAAAAAGAAACCAGTTTATCAGTCTTTTTCTTATTCTGAAAGTTTATAGTAGTGCTTTAATAGATTTCAATTAAAGAATCAGTAGCATATTATAGTTTGTGTTTTTTTATATTAGCTTATTTGGATTCTTTCCCTCTTTAGATTTCAAGAAAAATAATGCTCTGTTTCTAAATTAAAATATTTCTTTTAACTTAGAAATTAAAATCAATTCCAAAAATAATCTTCATATTTTCAATGGAATTTTCTATGCTAATAAGGGTGTTCCTTTGCAAATATCTTAGGCCTTTTTAGATTTTATTTTATTAGCTCAAATATTACTCATTTTTTCTTTTGTGCTGTTATATTTTTTTCCACTTGTCCTGTTTCTGATTTTTTTTTCTTACTACCATCAGTTTAGTCATTCTACAATGCAACACTGGTATGTGTTGCCCTTTATATTAGAAAAAATATTTGAAAGCATTCAGTAGTTAATTGAAGGTGTGATATGCTGCACAACAGCTGAAGATAGCTTTAAGGATTTTATGTTAATAAACCCTCTTATAGAGGTTATTTTAGTTTCTCACAGTGTGATTAAAAAAAATTCTCAGAGAACATACTTAGTTTCTGTTGGACCATCTGACATCCTTCAGTGTCCATGGACCCCCATTCCTGGGCTTTTGAATGTCTGCCTGTGATCCCTTAACAGATAAAGCACATTCTTTACTGGGCATGTTTGCCCTAAAAAACTAACAACTCTAGGTAACGCCTAATCTCACAATAGCTCAGCCTGGCTTGTTTCAGCCCACCTTATCAGAGCCA